CTGTAAGGGGCTTCTGGTGACGCCCTGATTCAAACCCGGCTGTTCCATCCCCTGCGGAGAGCCGAGCCCTTCCCCTGCTGCCGCCCCTTGCGAGCCGCCCTGGGCAAGGCTCGAATGGAGCCTGCAACGAGGGAGAGGACGGGAGAGGACGTGGAGGGCTGGAGCGGCGCCCACAGCTGCCGGCCCTACCCCTCCTCCCGGCCTCGCTTTTGAAAGGCCTGTGTGTGTGTAGGAGAGGAGAGGTGGTTTCCAAGGCCTCCGTGGGCTCTTTAGCAATGCAGCTGGGGGCTGTTTCCTCCTGGCCGGGCTCCCAGCAGATGGGGAAGGCCGTGCGCGGTGCCGGCCCCGTCCCGCTGAGCGCCCAAGGCTCCTCGCACCGGGCTCTCCCGCTGAGCCCCTTTGGAGCCTCTGCCCTGTCTGCAGGCCTGGAGCTAAAACAATCACCCCCAAATCCTTGGTTCCTTACCTCCTCTAATTCAGCAGCGATGGAGTGTGGGCTTGCATGGGGCTGCATCATTACTGCAGCTGGATACTGCATCAGGCACTGTCCTGTGCCCCTTGGGAAGCGGCTGGGAAGCAGGAGGAAGATGGGGCTGTCTGCCAGCTCGATGGGCTGGGGGCACAGGCTGGTGCAGAGGCAGCTGTCTCCAAGTTGCTGATTTTGCCTTCCACGAGCTCCACCTGCATCCCCGCTCCCCCAGCCAGCACCTCCACTTGTGCTCAGGTGCCTGCGGGGTGATGTGGAGTCTGACACATGTGTTTCCTTTCCAGAAACAGATTGAACTCAAATCAGCTGCCCTGGAGGATCTGCTCTTACCCTTGAGAAGACATTTTTGCTCTTTTAAGAAATCCATGGGCCGGCCTGATGCACGCTTCAGGAGCAGGACGAGGTGTTGAAGCACTGCCGTAGATGGGACCTTTGAGTAGAGCACGTCGGCGTGGGCGCCGTGCGAACGCAGGGCGCTCTGCACCGGGCCCAGGAGGGGCTGCGAGAGGCAGGGGCTGCGAGCGCGGCCCGCGCCCTGGAAATCAGATGTTCGTGAGTGCTTTCCAGTGGACAGACTTTGAGATTTCATATTCATATACCGATGCCTACAGCTGCCTATACAAGCATAATGAATCTCAGACCTTGTGTAAACAAGGTCATTGCTTTAGATATGGACTATCATGGCACAGTACTTTTTTTGTTGTTGTTTTTCATCTGTCCATAAGGTGTTTGTTCTCTAAAGGCTGGCATGGCTGCATACGTGCTCTCTACCCTTTGGTCCTTAAGTGCTGATAATGAAGGGTTTTGTGTGGGTGAGTGAGCGCACCTGTGTGCACTTGCACATATGTGTGTGGGTTAGGAAAGGTGTCTAAGAAAACTGCCAATCTTGCATTAAAGTGGAAGTTCAGGGAGATTTCATCCCTAGAGATGAGGTTAGATTTAGCATTGTCTACCCTCCAGAATGCAGCAGGTCTGAAACCCAGACTGAGTTTGGTGTCACTTGCCCCTTGCTGGCTAGAGTACATTTTTCTTGTCTGCTCTGGAGCCTCACTGTAGCAGCCTGTTAAATCTCCAAGTCTCCCTTTAATCACTGAGAACTAGTACATAATAATTTTTCCATCCTGACCTGGAATCCTTTTCATTGTTTGGAGGGAACAAGCTGTTCTTCAGAGAACAAATGCAGAGAAGACGCCGTGTTGCTGCTAATGGCTCGAGCCATTGTTGTCTCCAAGGGATCTGCTCGTCAGGCAGCTCCTCTGCAGGCAGGAATTTGGCCTGTTACAGCCCTGCGCGACAGATCCCGCTGCAGCCACGCTGGTAGCTTCAGGTATTTGCCCCAGTCTTTTTCTTCAGTCCATCTACAGGAGTTCTGGCCTCATGCGAAAGAGCAAAATAACTTTCCCAGTTACTCTTCAGTTATCTGCTTCTTAGTACCTGTTCCTTCTTAACATGCCCATGTTGCCTTGGGTGGTTGCTGTCCACTTGAAGATTTTTTTCATGTATATATTCCTTTCTAATAGAAACCAGGATCTAGAAGGGAACTCTCGAGTCCAACCAAATGCAGTGTCAGACTATCCTGTCATAAACTAATCAAACCCCCACTCCAAATTGGTTCCATGCCTTGCCTTCACTTTTGCTCTCGGAAGGCTATTCCAGAACTTCACTGCCTTTGAATGGTTAGAAACTTTATTTAAATTTCTAGTTTGAATTATTCGTGGCCGGTTCATTCCTGGTTTGTTTTCAAGCCAACATTGTCCTTTAACTTAAATAGTTTTTGGTGTTTATCCACTGATGTATTTATGGAGAGTAGTCATAGCTCCTCATTTTTGCCAAGCTAACCCAGCCAAGCTTTCTCAGTAGAAGGTTTTTATTTAGTGAGAGCTTTTCATGTGGGAGACTTTATTGTTGGTGGTAAATGATATTTATTAGAAGGGTGGGTAGCAAGCCCCAGAGGATCGGATCCAGAGACTTACAAAAAAAAATCTGTTTAAAAACAAAAAGCTCTTCCAGAACCTCATTCAAACGTGGTGTCTGATTTCTACCTTTAATTGCCTTTGCTTTTCTGATTCTTCCTTCATCCCCTGCTGAGAAGGCCGCCTTACCCAGGCACGAGGAGGTCAGTGCTTGGTGTGCCCGGGGCTGCCTCTCGCCCAGCCGTTGGTGCCCATGGGGCACCTGAGCCCGCACCGGCTGCCTCTGCGGTCAGCGGAGAGCTCGCCGCGCAGCACAAGGTGCAGGAGCAGCTCCTTGTAAAGAAGATGCCCTGCACCCTAAACGGAGCCGGGGCGTCCTGCTCAGGTGCAGACAAATCCTCCCGCAGATGCCACGAGCACGGGCAGTGCCTCGCGCTGACACGAAGCTCCCCAAATTCCTTCTTCCTCAGAAGCTATTGCAGGTCGTGCCTTGGCTTAAGGCACAAGTAGCAGCCCTCCCACCTCTGCCGTGCGAGCTGCACCGCTCTCATCGCGAGGAGCGGAGCTGGGGATGATGTGCAGGCTGCCAGGTCCCAAGGATGGACCCGCGCAGCTGTCATCAGTCCTGTGTAACCTGTGACTTCGCGGGTGACGGGGGGCTGGGTGTTCCTAGAGCTGAAGACACCAGTTCTAGGAGTCCTGAGAGTGTGAGTGTCTGCACAGTGTTACCTTCAGAGAACAAATACAGGTAGGTAATTTACTCTATTGTCTATGTACATGCAGGTTTATTTAAGTACACATATATACAGTTCAGATATGCCATTGATTCTTTATTGCATTAAGATGTACATTAAAAATGTACACTTTTACTAACTAACTGCTATATAAATACGTTGGAAATGTAGTTTGCCCATTCAAGGTGATTTTCTGTGGAATTTTTGGTGTACACTTAAAGGCTTATGCTAATTGCAAGAGTGATCCCCACTCCATCTACAGAAATGCTTAAGGATTATGGTATGAACTGGTCCCTTCAAACCAGTTTGTCAGGCATTAGCTGTTTTTTTTTTTTTTTTTTTTTTTTTTTTTTTTTTTTTGTGGCATTTGGATTGTATTTGGCCTGTTTTCCAGAGAGAGGGGGGAAAAAAAAGAGAAATCTTGTGAGCTAGGGGGAGAATTTCCCGGTGTACACAGAAAACACAGCCTTGAGGGTTGGAGGCTGCTGAGGTTTTGAGCTTTGTCTCCATGCATTCATACAAGCACAGCAGGAGTTTTCTTTCTTTTGGGTCAGAGGAATTTTAAAAAGTGGTTCCATGCAGGCTCCCCTCATGCACCGCGGCCGGGGAACAGGCTGGCAAGCCCTGCTGCATGGGCAGGGTAAGATCGAAAGAGGACTGCCAATATACAGCTTTTGAAGCAGAAATCGATAAGTGAGGTCCCTTTCTAACTACCCCACTGTTATCTGCATTTTTAGTTGACTTGATACTTCCTTGAAAACTTAAGCTAAAGATCTGAGGGTTTAGCTCTGTAGTCCTTTGTTTCCCTATAACTTCATTTTTGAAGCTGAAGAGAAGCAGGTGTCATTTCTGGATATACTCAGGTTTTGGTGCAGGACTTCAGAAATGTGTTTGCATCTGAAACTGAAAGAAATGAGAGGTGGCTTGACAGTCCCAGCAGCAGCTCTTCTGGTGTTGAGAGGAAGCGTCACCACAATTCGACTCAGTGTGACTATTTATCATCGTTAATCAAAGATGACTATGATGACCTAAAGAGCTTAAGGTAGAAGTCATGCAGCCAGCATCAGTAGGGAAGGGAAATTAATTTCTTCACCTCCATCAGCTATGTGTGAGCTTGGGTTTGATAGACACAGGAGTAAGCATCAATTTTAATCCATGTGAATCCTGTTACTTATTTCTCTGAGGCTGCTTAGATTAAGGTCGCAATCCAATTACTTAACAAGCTGAAACCCTGGTTTGTGCTGCACCTGCCTCACTCATGTAAGGGCTGCTGCTCCTCCTGGTGCGAGGAGCAGCATTAGTAATAGCAACAGGGCCCAGATGAGATTTTTTTTTTTTTCAACACAGCTCTGTGTTTCGTATGGGTGGCTTATTTTTCTGTTCCTTGACTGATATCCTGGAAGTCCTTTTATTATTATTATTATATTTTTAGCAGCACATTAAACAAACAGTGATGCACAGGAACCTATTTCCATTTGCCTGAGATCCAAGTGCTGCTGCACGTCGGGCCTGCAGCCAGACCATGGACACAAGCGTTTGCTTCAGCTTCAGGTGGTTGACGCGGTCCCTGTCCCCTCCCTGCTGGGGCCTTGCCCTGGTCACTGTGAGCAGCCATCAGCCGATGGCAGCTGTGACTAGAAATCCTGCAGACGGGCACACAGCTTGATGCAGAGCCCTAACGTGACAGTGACACTTGCCCAGAAGCTGGAGGTGCAAAACATCCGCTTGGTTTAGTCTTGCTACTCATCCCCTGTCTGTTCAGGAGGATGTGGGAGGTTAAGTGTTTGCGGGTCTTATTCCTATTTATTATTTTTTTTAATTGAAAAAGCAACAGTTTCGGTTAGAGGGAGAAGTCTGTACTCTCCCCCTTGTGATCAATAGCCTCTCAAGAGACATTATGCAGGAAAGCTGATCAGATGGTGATGGTCAGAAGCTGGGGTAAATGGTAATCAGAAGGGAAGGTGTTTTTCAGCACTTTAGGCACAAATGGGCAGGGTAAGATGATACTGCACCTTCCCCACAGTATTTCTGGTATTTTACAATCAAGTTGATTTAAAAATCCTTTAAACTGTTCTTCTCGGCTTCCCAGATAATTTTGGCTTCGCTTTTTGAATCGCTCTATGGCCTGATGTGATTCTGTTCACAGGGATGTCCAGTGGGGACAGATTAGGCAAAGTTATAAACAGGGAGCAGAATGGACTTGTTTTTTTTTTTTTTTAACAAGTTTAATTTCTGCTGTATTTTTGTTTTCTGGCACTGGTCTCTGCCAGGAATGCTGAATCAGAACCACAAACCTTACTTTAAAGCGGAGCAAGTGACCTCTGTTATCTAAGCAGTGATTTCTTTTTCTTTGCTTGTTCCAGTAGAGAGTGCTCTCTTGGCTCAAGTTGGCCATTTTTTGATGGTGTTAAAGCCTGTTTTTCCTGTACTGATGGAGGTGGTGTTAGGAGGACTCTTGCTTATTGGTGCTAGCGAAGGTTGGGATAGGAATCCACGGCATAGAAAACTTCTTGCTAAAACGTTGCACTTTTTCTCTGTGCCCCATCTGACTCGTGGTATCGTAATGGGTACGTGGCTGTGTTTCCCCTTGCACATACTAGCATTGCACTAAAAGAGAAACTTTGGGAACAGCGTGTTGATCACTTTGTTTCTCACCAGACCACAAAGTCAGCCTAATGGGGTCGTTTGTTTGTTTGTTTGTTTAATTAATATTATTTCAAAATCATGCTGGTGCTGAATGACCTGGAATTTTTGCTTGGATTTATCCAAAGGAAAATGTAATTGTAGCTGCAACGGGACCTTTCATAAGGGTGGCCGTGTAGCCAGGGGCAGAGCAAAGTCTCTGCCGCGTAACCGTCTTTGTACCGGGGAGAGGCGGCGGGGGGGTCCGGTGGGGGTGTTATTGTGTTTTTTAAGACCACAATTTTCGATGGTCACCTTGGAAATGTGTGAGGCAGGAACTAGTTTTTACTTTTGGTAAAGGTTTTAAAGAGAAGAGGGGGGGAAAAAAAAAAGGAGGAAAAAAAAAAAAAAAAAGTGAAGCTGCCTGTGACTGTGGGCTGTGGCTATTACTAGGGCTAGGGTAGCTTGTACCTGCTATGGACTTTACCTGCTCTTATTCTGAGGGCAAGAACTCCCTGTAGTGACAATGCCACTTCTGCGAAGTGAATGGCAAGTTTCCCTTCCTTTTGTATATGTGGATGTGAGGGTGGGAGAGGGGAAGAGCTTGCTTGTACAGTTTGTTGAAATGAAACCAGACATTTTTGGTTGTTCCTAAATAAAGAGCGTAAAATATGAACAAGAATTGACTGGTGATTGGAACTGGGGTTGGGTGAGCCCACGGGCCTGGGTGCTTCGCTATGTCCTGCACTGCCGCCCTGGACCTCAGGTGCTGCTTTGGTGCAGGGTGTCCCATAGGGAGCCACTCAGTCCAGACTGGGGAAAGCTGCTCCTTGTGTTGGGCCCTGGCCTAAATTAGTGGGTGTTTTTTTCCATTTTGCTGGGCATCGCCATGGAAATTTTCACCTGCAGCCTCTCTGGGGCCATGCAAAGCCCCAGTTTTGCAGGGAGATGGAGATGGAAAAATACAAAGATGAAACAAAACAGATAAATCTTTCCTACGAGCCCTTCCGCAGTCTGCAGTCCCTGCCTGGCTCTGGTCCTGGTCAAAACGGCACGGCCGGCCATCGCTTACGTGAACACAGTAATTTTTTGCCCTTTTGAGTGAACAGTTTCAAAGCTGGGGTTGTGCCCAGCTATCATTTTTTCCCCATGGCTGCAGTGGTCCCCAAGGCACAAAAACAACTCACACCCGAGTCCTCATCGCAAGCAAGGGCGGGCAAAGGCACCAGCGAGCCGAGACGCCACATGCTTAATACTGACACATTTATTGTCGATTAAAGCTAGAGCGGCCTGTAAACGTCGACTGTCACTACTGGACCCATCGGCAGTGGCTATACAGGTAGGCAGACGGAATCCTGCCCGCGCCGAGGCCTCGCGCGGGCAGCACGGGGCGGCCTCGCGGGTGCCCCCGGCGGCGCCGAGTCGCGACCGCTGTCAGCGCTGAGGCGGCCCCGGCTTCCTGGCTCTTGTCCTCGCCATTATAGACAGTTTCGTCTCTCACCTCGGCGGCTGGCAGGCTCCGCACATCCATACACTTGAAAGTAGGCCATAGCAGTGCCGTTTCCATAGAAACCAGTTCACAGCGTGCCGTGACAATCACAAGCACTGGAGGTGCTTTCAGCCGCCCGCCGTGGGCTACAGCCGGTTGTCCCCGTTGACCCTGGTCCGTCGCAGGAGCCTGCAGGGGGCACAGAGAGGGGCGCAGCGCTGAGCGGGTGTCCCAGCAGGACGGGACGTGGCCCTGCGCCCGCGGAAACAAAATGGCTTCGGCAGCAGGGAGGTTGGAGCCGGCTCCGGCGGCGAATGCCAGGGCGCAGGCAGCGCTGGCTTCCCCCTAGCGCTGCGTCCGCGCCAGGCCTGGCCAGGACCGCATGGGTCAACAAACCCGGGAGGAGCAGCTAACCCCCTGCTCCCTGGCGGGCCACGTTCGCCTCAGGACACGGGTTTCATCTCCCTCTGAGGAAGAACTTTACTGTGAGGGTGACAGGGCACTGGAACAGGCTGCCCCGAGAGGTGGTGGAGTCTCCTTCCCTGGAGATCTTCCAAAACCCCCTGGACCCTGTGCCCTGGGTGTCCCTGCTGGAGCAGGGGGTTGGACTGGATCATCTCTAGAGGTTCCTTCCAACCTCAACCCTTCTGTGACTCTGTGTGTTTCAACCCCGCATGTGCCCCAGCAGCAGCTTCATCCAGCCTAGCTCTCTGGCCAACACTGGTGCCTCCCTGCTGCCCAAAGAGCCAGGAGGGAACAGGCCCAGCCTGGGGGAACGCGGAATCGGCCAGCGCTTCCTGCTGCTGCAGCCAGGTCCGGCCTCCTCAGCCTCCGACCACCACCTCCCCCTCATCCCTCCCGCAGGCCTTAGGTCAAACGGAGCTCGAGCAGCCTCCGAGCGGCTGCAGTACCTTCGCTCGCGGCTCTCGATGTGATCCGTGAGCTGCTCCTGCGATACGCGGAAGTCCTCAAAGGGCTGCTGGTAGCGGGACTCGAAGGAGCCCTCCCTGGCTCTGCCCGCCAGGAGCTGGCTGGAGGCGTCCCCCGCTCGCTCCCGCAGCGCCGAGCCGCTGAAGAGGTGAATTTCGCCGTTCTCCTGCTTGAATGGGACACAGGCGGCACTGAAGGCCTGGGGGTTTCCAAGTCTGCACGGCAGGACCTGCCTTTTCTGCAGGCCGTGCGAGCAGAGCGCGGGGCCTGGCTGCACACGGAGCCAACGCGCCCGGGCGGCCCAGGGCTGACAGGGGCTCTGGGTGGGCACCGTGCAGCTGCTCTGCCTTTTACAACCATCAGCAGCTCCCAGCAACTGAACTTTTTAATATGGAAATAAAAGAAACATTTTTCTCAAGAGAACCCTACCCAGCTGGCCCTGTATCACCACACTCCATGACACTAAGCTAGATGGGATGCTGCAGATCTGCCTCCTTCAGCATTTAGAGAAGGGATTTATAGGGAAGCCAAGGCAGGAATGTGCCTGAAATACCTCTGGCTCAGTGCAATAACTGAAACTGGTAGGACCAGGATATCCTATCCCTTCAGCCCTCTATGACGGCAGAGCTCAAAACACCCCTGGTCCACAGGAAGGAGCAAGGCGAAAGGGAACAACTCTTGCATTTAAGAACATGACCCCAACTGCAGCCATGACCAGGGCTCTGTGGGACTCGGTTGCCTGGTGTGCGTTCAGCTAATGCTGCGCTCCAACCAGCAGCCCTCACGTGAGCAGAAGAAGAGGGTGTGAAAGGAACTGTGCGAGGTGGGGAGGAAGGCCGGCAGCGCCGCGCTGCCCAGCAAGGAGGGATGGGGAGGGCTCTCTGGCTTTGCCCCAAGCCAGGTGGCCTGCACACCTCTCGTGTGAGCCACTCTTACCTTGCTAGGGAAGATGTCTATCTTGACAAGCAGAGATGCTAACTCCAGGCTCTCACTGTAGTTGTTCTTCAAGGGTACCGCTCGGAAACCTAGTGCAGAGACAGCCTTGGCGTTACTCGCAGTACATGCGATGTGTTAGTCCCCAAGGCACACATCTCAGGGAGGCATTTTCCAATTCCCCTCCCCTCCTCTGGTGGCCCCGAAGCACCAGTGAGCCAAAGGATGTTAGCAAAAGTGCATCCTGCTTCCTTCTCCTATGAAATTTCCCATCTCCCTGACCAAATATTTGATCAGTAGATTGGTGAGGACCAACATGACACACACATGCACGGTCCCCGAGCTCTCTACCTGTCTTCAAGCCTTTCACCAGGAAGGTAGCCTGAGCCAAGAAGTTCTCATCACTGAACATGTCCTCTTCATACACCACGAAGCGGAGGAAGGCAAATTCGGGATTGCTGACCTGGAAGTGGAACTGCTTCGGGGTCCAGACAGGGTTGAGGCCGTTGTCCGCTGTTCACAAAACACCACAATTACAGAGCAGCCCCGGCATCGCCCCTGCGCTCCCGCTGCTCCCCGCTCCTGCCTATTCAGAGCCCAAAATGAGGAGCTGGAGGGGGCAGCACTCCTGCTTTTCAGCAATGCCCATGGTTTATGGAGCAGCTCGGAAAACACAGCAGCCTCCTCCCTACCCCTCACCTGTGCCCTGCTAGGGGTGTTTCCAAGCATGTGAATACGATCCTCCATGACCCCTCTGCTTCAGTATCAAGAATCCCTGTCACCACCGTGTCCAGGACACCGGCCGAGTTCCAGGGGGAAACCCAGCACTCCGGTGCCACCTCTGCCTCCAGACACGCAGCCACCAGGGCCTGGCACTGCAGCAGCACCAGCTCCTTGCAGCTGCCCAGGCTCAGCCCAGGCCCCGGGGGGGGCACGGGGTGCCACCACAGCCCCTAGTGCCCAGTGCCCGGGCACAGGCAGTCGCCCAGGGCCTTGCTGCAAGCAAAGCTTCACCTCTCTACGGGCTCCCCAGGGCCACTAATGGGCCCGGCAGCATCATCCCATGGGGGATGAATCCCCCAAAACTGCTGAGAGCAGCTGGGAGGGCAGCAGACAGCACCCCCGGCGGGGGAGGGGTTAAAAGCAGCTCACCCACAATCTCTGTCTTCTGTTTCGTGTTGTCGTACTCGGCCCCGGACACCTCCACCTCCACAAACGGACAAACGATTCCCCTCCCGTTTTTGGGAAGGTGCCGGGCGCCCAGGACCTAGGGAAGAGAGGAGCAGAAAAGCTTTGCCACACACAGAAGCCAAGGAAAAGGCCTTGTTTGCACACTGAGGAATTTTCTTTCCAAACAAATCACCCCAGCTCTGCTAAACGGAGGGACAAGGGACAGGGCCAGCCAGGCCAGCCCCAAGAAAAAAAGAGCTCCAAACCCTGCAGGCTGCCGTTACTGATCTCCCTTCAACTTGCAAGATTATAAAAGGCAGCTGAACCGTTACAGGCTCCCACCATCCCTGCGGGAGGGCTGAGCCTGTGGCGACAGCACCTTCCCGAGCCAGCCAAGCAGGATCAGCACCTGCTCGGGGCCAGGCCACCAGGCTGGGACTCCTTTCCCTGGCCAATCTCCGGCAACTCGGAGATTTCCACGGAGCCGCTTCTTGTGCAGCGCTCCGAGCGGATGTCGTCCCCGCTGCTGTCCCCCTTCCTGTTGGCAGCACGGCCTGTGCTCGATGCCAGGGACAACCTGCTTCCTCGCAGGAGGAAGAAACCCCAGCTCCCTCTTGCCGGTGGCCATCTGGCCCCGCGCGGCTGCTGCGGGGGCGACGCGCTGCCAGGGCTGCACCGGGCGCTCCGAGTCCCGCTGGCCTCGGGGTGGCTTTTCCATCCCGAAAGCTGCCTTTGCTGGGGACATGGGGCACTTCTGCCAGAGGACAACAGCTGAGACAACCTCTTAAAGGAGATGGTGGCTGCAGCTTTACCCCAAGACACAGGAAGAATTTACAGAGCGCTGCTGTGCAGACGGTGCACGGAGCCAGCATTACCTCGGGAGACACCGAGTGCAAGGTTAACATGCTGTCAGCAAATTGCAAGCCCCTAACAGCAAGATCTCTGCTGCCTCGTCCCCAAGGCCTCTGTGACATGAAGGGGGCTTGCAGAGATGACTGCCAGGCCACAGACACAGAGCCAGCCTGACCCTGGGCCCACCAGGGATCCCTGTACAGGCTGCTGTGACAGCCAGGTCCAAGCATGGAAGCCACCTGGCCTGGCAGAGCCGTGGCCTCCGCATCGAGCAGCTGTGAGCAAAGGGACCCCTAAAGGCAGGCAAGGAAGGACCTGCCTGGCACGTGTGTTTCAAGTCAGGAGGATCTACGATCTCACATGGTGCTCATGTTGCCCCTTCCCTCCTTCCAGGTGGAGAGGGGACTATGGGGGCAAGAAGCAGCTGTGGTTCCCTTCCAACTACGTGGAGGAGATCTCCAGCCCCAGCAGCCTGGAGCCGGAGCGCGAGGTGAGCGGGTGGCTGCGCGCGCGGGCGCTGGGAGGGCTGCAGCTCCCTGCGCGAGGGCTCGCGGCCGGGCCTGCTCCCGTGTCCGACGCAACCGGCCTGTGCTGTCCTTCCCAGGGAGGGCAGCGCGGCCTGGTGCTCCTGCTCCAGCACTCGGGTATGTTCACACAGCCCTCGGGAAGCTCAGGACGAGGCCGCCCACCCAGTCCCCTCCTCTCCTGCTGCCTCCCTGGGGCCAGCCCTGCTAGCGGAGCGGGGGCTGGCAGAGCCCCGTGCCACAGCTCACGATTGCCACCTGCCGGCACCGGCCCCTTGGCCCGGGCCCTCTGTCCAGCGCTGCCTTCACGTCCTGTCTTTGGGCTCCAGGGCTGCAATTCGCTTCTGCGAGGCCACAATGAAAGCAGCAAAACAGACAACCGCTTTCCTGCTTTCTTCCACGCAGAGACACAGCGGGGTCCCTCCATGCTCCAAACAGGAGGCTCCCCGAAAGCAGCTCCCGCTGCTCCTCTACGGGCACCCGGGGAATCCGGTGGCACTTTCTGCCTGCAGAAGCACCCCCAGCCCTCCCCTTCCAGCTATTGCTCTCCAATCCAACCCTGGTGGGACAGCTCTTAAACAGGGGCTGAAGCAGGGAGTCAGATGAAGAACAGCAGCAAACACAGGTCAGAAACCCGTGCAAAAATGTTACTTCACCACACCGGCCCCAGCTCACTAGAAATGCCTGGGCTGAGCCCACCTTCCTCCCCCACAGGGATAACCTGCCCCATCCACCCAAGGGGGCACATGGTGCTGCCCCGGCGTGAGGCCCTCTGTACCCAGCGAGGGCCCCGGGAACTGCCCTGCCCGCGCTGGGGAGGAGGGGAGGGACGGGCGCAGGGGAGGCACCCACCTCGATGGAGATGGAGAGCGGCTCGACGCCGCGCAGCGTGCTCTTGTCGAAGGGGTCGAAGAAGTCATCCCGCATGTTGGGCGGCTGCAGGACGTACCCGCACTGGCCGCTGGACAGGAACAAGGCCTGGTTCATCTGCATGGGCTTGTCTGGGGAGCAGGAGGAGATGGGTAGAGGTGGCCCTTCCACCACAAGCCAGACCCTCCAGGCTCTCTGTGCTGTGCAGGAAACTCTTTGCCCCTTACCAGCTTATTCCCCTGGACCTCTCGAGCACCATGTGCTCACCGCAGCTCCTGCAGGCACCTGGGCCAGGGGACCTCCCCAACCAGATCACCCTCCTTTTTTTCTCCTCCCTTCTCTTCCTACTTTCCTGGTGTTGACTCTAGCACTCATCAAACCCTTCTGCGAGATGCTTTAATTCACAAAAGGGTTGGAAAACCCAGAAAAGAAAGGAAGACAAAGGAGTTTCCAGCAGGTTAGAGAGCTGAAGCAGCTCGTAGAAGGGTTCGGCAACAGCCAGGGCAAGGGAAAGGCTGGAGTGACTGTGCTGCAGGCCGAGCCTGCCCGGCTGCTCTCACCTGGCGTCTGGAAGTTGAGGGCTACCAGCTGGCTGCCGCAGATCCACATGGGCAGGGGGTCGTAGTTGGAGGAGTCGAGGCGCTGGCCCTTGGGGTAGATGCGGGAGAGCTGCAGGCGGTTGTACTGCAGGAACTTCTTGCCCTTGATCTTGTTGACGTACTTCTCCGCTTTGGTCTCGGGGAAAGAGGACATATCCCGGTAACAGGCCCTTTCTGTGCCGATCTCTGCGAGAAGAGAACACGCAGCTAAGACATGAATGCTCATGGAGGCCTCACAGGGTGGTACCTGGAATGGGAAAACAGCTTCCTCCAAGAGGTCTGGCTGCTCCAGCATTCTCCATTCCCACTCCAGCCACCGCAGGCCCCTTCCTAACACTGCCCTCTCCCGCCCTAGCTCCAATATTATCGGTCTCACACGCTCCACTCTACTCTGAACTGGTTTGCTGGTAGCACAGCAAGAGCAGGTTGGAAGCATCAGCACAGCTGTGTGAGGAGGGCCCCGACGCGCTGCTCCCGGCCCTGCTCCCCGGCAGCTCGGGTTGGTGCCAGATTCCAGCTATGGCAGGGACAGGGAAAGGAACTTCTACCTTCTAGAGAAGGAAATTTTCAGTTCTCCAATGTAAACTGGTTCCAATTTGCTTTGGACACCGGTTCCCCATGGCCAAAGGCGAAGAGACCATGCTTGGGGATGCACAGGAGGGTCAGTAACCCCATGTTACTGCCTGCTACAGCCACGAGATCACAAGGGCCACCAGGAAACTGATGCTCACTCTCTTCGTCGAAGGGCACGGGCCGGCAATAGACGACCAGCTCTGAAAGCTCCAGGGCAATCTTCTTCCTCCTCTCCATCATCTTGCCTTCAGAGAGCTGCCGAGGGGAGAAGAGAGGCTTCAGGGCCAGCTCGTGAGCTGCAGGCAGGGGCACTCCGTGGCCGCCCCGCTGCAGGGTGCCACGAGCCGGCAGGTCGGGCAGGCCATCGCCGAGGGGAGCACAGGAGCACACGAAGGAGGAACCCGCGGTGGCTCCAGCTCCCTGCTCAAGCACAGGGCAGCTGCAGCTTTGCCTGGGAGTTGCAGGCAGCCGTTTGCCCACCCTCTCCCTCAGCCTAAACCTGCTCCCTCCAACTCTCCTCATCCCCCTCGGGAAAGCCCAGGGCTTTGCTACAAGACGCCTCCCCCGTTCAGGGCTGTCCGGACTCACGCGGGCATCAGCCGTCTGCGCTGCCTCCCGGATCTTCTTCACCCAGTCCAGCAGGTCCTCGTGCGTGTCGGCCGCCACGTCGAGGGAGAGGCGCGACACCGAGGCCATGCTGATGGAGAACACGAACAGGCGGTTGTTCTTCCCCTCGGGGCGGATGGCTGTGCGGGGAGAGGGAGCAGAGCGGGAGGTCACCGGCAATGCTGGGTTTGGGGGAGGCAGCGAGGAGGGGACCAAGGCTGAGACCCCCTCGTGACTGTCTAGGTCTCCACAGCTAAGAGAAGCTGCCATTTCTGGCGAGCGAAGGCAGGAGAAGTCACCCAGGGAGCAATAGGTGATGATACAAAGTGCATCCTGAGGTCCTGAAAAGATCCCCACAGCCTTTGCACCACCCTTTTCCTCCCATTTCTGAATATTCCTCGCTCCTTGCCCTGAAATGCCCTTGCTCTCTGGGAACAGTTCTAGAATAAGGTGCCCTCTGGGCCCAGGGGGACAGTGACAGGATGGGGGGAGCTGCAAGGCAGATCCAGCTCTCCGGAAGCCCTGCAGCAGGCTGGCAGCAAGGTCTGGGCACACATACACAGGGATCATCACAGAAAACGTGTAGGAGCTCTACAAAGCCAGCGTGCCCTTGCGGTGGTTGGGATTGACTCCTGCTGCTGCCCTCTGAGAGGACAGATTCAAGATGTCCTGGAGTGGCTCCTCACCAGACACCAAGGATTGCTCCTTCCTACCCCAATATGCTCCTAGGCTGCACCCTGACATGCAGACATGCCCAGACCCAGCATGCAGAGGAGTGCATCACTGCACAGGAACAGGCACTGCAGACCTGCCTCCACTCGCAGCAGGCACGGGGTCACTTACAGACAGTCCCCAGGGGGCCCACAAACAGACCATGCACTAACATCCCCCTGTCCTCCATCCCTCTCTGGCACTCACCAATCTGACAGGACGGCACGTCGAGGACCCCTCCGAGCAGGTCTCCCAGGGGGCTGTTCTCATCCAGCTGCTGCTGGGGAGGAAGCACAGGATGGTTGCACTGGACACGGGAGCAGGCCCGGCCGCGAGCCCTCGCGCAGGGAGCTGCAGCCCTCCCAGCGCCCGCGCGCGCAGCCACCCGCTCACCTCGCGCTCCGGCTCCAGGCTGCTGGGGCTGGAGATCTCCTCCACGTAGTTGGAAGGGAACCACAGCTGCTTCTTGCCCCCATAGTCCCCTCTCCACCTGGAAGGAGGGAAGGGGCAACATGAGCACCACGTGAGATCCCAGATCCTCCTGACTTGAAAAACACGTGCCAGGCAGGTCCTTCCTTGCCTGGCTTTAGGGGTCACGAGAACACAGTGGGCTTTGGACTATTCCTAAAAGAATCCCCCTGTATGTCGACACCTCACTGTATGGAATGATCCCTAGGGAAAAGGGAGGGCATGATCAACTCACCAGCCTCCTTCCTGCTTCTCCACGTTCTGGATGATGGCGTTCTTGGTGAAGGTGAGCTCATCCTCCCGCTGCGCCTTGTAGTCAAACAGGGCTTTGACGGCACACTGCAAGGAGGAGGGCGACCCACACGGTCACCTTCTGATGTGGCCGCAGCTGAGAGACCAGCTCCCACCACGATGCGAGCGGGGCAGCAGGAGCCAGCAGCCAGCCTGGCTGCCAGGCCCCAGCGACCCCTTAAAAAACAAATCAAGGTCCCCGTTTATGGCAACCTGCTGAGGCCAGAAGTCTGGCATGGCCCTGCACAAGTGCCATCTTTGTGCTGAAGAGGAGCAGCTGTGATGCAGGGAAGATCCCAAGTGCAAAGGAACTGCTACTAATGGCAGGACTTTGCATCCCAGACAGTTTCTACAAGAAACCTGCAGACCAGAGCAGGCAGCAGCACCCAGGCTGGCACAAGAAACTGTGAGGAAGAACTTACGCTTGTTCGTTTTTCTCTAGGAAGTAATAAACTCAGCCTGACCCAGATACTCAGCCTGGCTGGCTGGGCCAGAGAAAAAAAACTGACCTAGAGCTCAGGAAAGGATGAGGAAAGTCCAACAGAAGGTTGTGAACCAGATTCAGCAGCTTTGAGAGAGAAATGGAAGGTGGTGGAAAGCGATGGGTCTTATCTAACCCTGCAGAAGGTCCTCCCTTGTCCCTGTCTTCCTCAGCTGGGCTCAGGAAACCAGGCAGAGGGGGTTGACGGAAGCTGCACGGCGCAGGGCTGGCACTGCAGAGTGTGACACGCCGGGCGGGGAGAACGTACCTTGAAGGTGGGCATGGGGTTGGCTTCCACGTAGAAGCCGGGATGGCGCCCCTCGTACAGGGCTCCGTAGTCCGGCTCCTGTGAAACAAAGGCAGGTGGTGAATGTGGTGACTCTACAAGAGAACAAGCCTTTCCCTTGGGGAAGGGGAAAACACGCCAGGGAAGCCAAGCTTCCTGAAGAAAGGCTGCACACTGCAAACAGCACAAAGCCCACGCTCCCTGCTGCCACGGGTCAGAGGGGCAGCCACAAACCTCGCTCAAGACATGTTCCCAACAGCTTATGGCACGAGGGGGAGGCACCCAGGGGTGTGGGCTGTGAAACAGAGAACTGCCTCGGGGCATTAGCTCAGAACAGACCCGTCCCTTCTCCTTCGGCTCCCCGTGCCAGCCCACACTCACCGCTGTCCCGATCTTCTCCAGCGTCTCCTCGTTGATGGGATACCTCAGCTTCATCTTGCGGTACAGCGGGTGCTTCTCATAGTAGCTGATCAAGTCCACCAGGCTCTCAAACTCAGAGTTGCCGAGCAGCACGGTCTGGCCCTCCTGCTGCACCCGGCAGTGTTTGATCTTCCCTTCCGCCCTGGCAGGTCGAGAGAGACAGAGAAGCTGCTTGATACGTGGCAAGAGAGGGCTTCTCCCCTCTCAAAAGCTGCCCTTCACGCTGGCTGCGGGGCAAAGTGGTGGACATTGGGCAAAGTGACCTATGTGCAGAGGCACAGTCACCTGCCACCGCAGCCGTGTCACCTCAGGAAGGTGCCTGCATGGCTGCAACACGCCACTGTCCCCAGGCATCCCACCAAGGATGCCCCACAGAGCACAGGGCAACGCAGGCAACGTTTCCTTGTGGAAATGGGAACATTAGGCAGGAAGAGAAGAATAAAATGCTGTGGACCCCAGGTTGATCACACCACCATGGCCAAGGACGAGCAGGGTCCTATAGGCTCTTACAGTGCCTAAAGCCTATAGTGGGTCATTTGGGAGAGACTAGAAGCTCTGGAAAGGCTCATGTTAGGCCAGAAACGCTCCATCAGCCGCGTGCCCATTGCCATGTGACACACCCCACGGGGAGCAAACAGCCCCATGGGCACCACGGAAGAGGAGGCACGAAAGGGGAAAAGCAGAGAAGAGCAACGATTCCCCAGGCCCCGTGCAAATCCCTCAGCACCATCCCACTGCCATTCCCAACTCCTGCACACTCATCCCTTCCCGGGGAGCCTTCCTGGCTCTCTGCACGGCGGCTCTGCTGCTCCCGCCCGTCTGCCGGGACGCACCGGAAGGAGATGGCGTAGGAGCTGGGCTCGCTCCTCTTGCGCACCAGGAAGGCCCCGTCGCGCGGCACCCGCATCAGCATGTGCTCGGCCTGGGCTCGGGTGAGGCTGGCGTGGTACCACCTGCAGGGAAGGACAGGGCACGGTGAGCGCGGCTCTGCGGCGCGGCCACGCAATCCCGTTTCCCCTTGCATGCAAAAGGTTAACCAAATCCTTGGGAAAAGCAAGGCAGCAAGGAGCACCATCATGGCTGTCCACTGCCACAGGGCAGTGTCCTCTCCTCAGGGGAACAGCCAGGGGATGCACCAGGAACAGAGCAGGCTGGTGACATGTGGCACCACCAAGGGAACTGCAAGGCCAATACCTCCTTTCTTGCAGCAGAGCTCCCAGGACAGCCAGCTCCAAAAGCAAAAAAGCTCCGAAGTGACCAAACTGCTGCCCGGGGAGCTGTGCTGCCCTGCAGGGAGCCCGTGGGACCAGAGAGCCCCAGCAGAGCCTGCAGGGAGGCTTGGAAGGGTTTCCCACCAGCCTCCCAGTCCCTATAGGACACAAGGCACCTGCCTCTAGCACACACTCACTCTTTGCTCTCATGGGCATTGGTCTGAGGCACTGGCTCTGTGAGCCTCATCTCAAACTCGTTGCACCTCAGCGGCACCTCCTGGTAGTGGGTGATGAGGTCGTAGAGGCTGTCGAACACCAGGTTGTCGGTCAGGAAGAACTTGGGGCTGCCAGCATCCTGCCGGGAGTGGATCCGGCAGTGCTGCACCTTCCCGTTGCGCCTGCGGGAAGGGGACAGGGTAAACCAGGGTCTGTGGAGAACATTCACATTTATCCACAGCCTCCTAAGACACTGCTGCAGCTGGGGTCAGCTGAGGAGGATGTGATGTTCCTGGCCCACAGGAGGAAGTTGCAAAAGGGTCTCCAGGGACTTTACCCTCCTGCAGCGACACAGTGAGCTGATGGAGCAGGGAGGCACAGAAAGATGGAGAAATTTGCTCGCAGATCAGCGGCAGAGGAGGGAATGGGACTTCACTTCGGACACAGTGTCCCCTGCTGCAGCTGGGGTCAGCTGAGGAGGATGTGATGTTCCTGGCCCACAGGAGGAAGTTGCAAAAGGGTCTCCAGGGACTTTACCCTCCTGCAGCGACACAGTGAGCTGATGGAGCAGGGAGGCACAGAAAGATGGAGAAATTTGCTCGCAGATCAGCGGCAGAGGAGGGAATGGGACTTCACTTCGGACACAGTGACAAAGACAGCACAAAGATGAAGACCACCCCAGGAGTGACATGCAGAGCAGTGAGCAGGCTGGCACCTGCAGACCCTTACCAGAAGGAGAGGGTGTAGTCTCCAACGAAGGTCTCGCTTTCTCGCACAAGGAAGGAGCCGTCAGGGGCTCCCGTCTCAATGCAGTACTCGGTAAGCAGCCTCTCGGCGATGTGGCGCCCGTCACGTCCTGCCCCCAGTTTGCCATGAAACCACTTCTCCGTGGAGTGAAGCTCGGTGCTGTTGCTTGCCTGGCAGGGCACAACACACAGCCAAGGGTCACCGAGGGTGGGCTCATGGGGCCTGGACCTGCTCTGCTCATGGTCTCTCTGACCAGGACCAAGAGAATTCTGCATTGGATCTCACCTTTCCCACCACAGCTTGTCCCTCTGAAGTCAGGCTGCAGTGGAGATGACCCAGTGAAATGCAGCCTTGTACTTCATACAAGGGAGTATTAGAGCCCTTACCTCTTTTTGCTCTTCCTCATCCTCATTTCCTTGGTTGCTGCTTGTCTCCCCAGAGTAATAGATCTTGCTGCTGGTCAGGACAAAGTAATGTGGGTTCCACTCCTGCAAGGAAATGAGCTTTGGGCAAAGAGATCCCTTGAGGAAGCACCAAGTTGCCCAGCACCAACCAGCGGGATTTTCACTTTATGATTAGCACAAGCAGTGAGAAGTGATTGGGTTTGTGAAGGATGATCATCAACAACAGTGATTTAAGTGAACGGTCAGAGAAACTTCCAAGATATCTCCCATATCCAAAGCAGGGATTTATCAGTAGCAAAAAAACATGTGACAGAGCTCACATACAAACTGACTGCAGATCATGCTGCAAACTCCCCAGGACATGTTAAGGGAAGCCAGAGGAAGGGCAAACCAATGCAGAAACAAAACACTAAGCATGGATTCAGCTCAAGGGATATCAGAGACGGGAACAGTTTTTGCATTTTACTATATTTTCCAAAACCCTGCTTCTTTCCCATATGATCTTGCCTCAAGGATCCTCACCAAAGCAAAGGCAGCTAAAAAAGTGGACTGTGTATAAGCAAATGCACATAGGGAAATGAATGCTCAACACTTTCCAAAGCATGGTGCTCACTTAGTTGTGTTATTAAGTGTTTAGGCACTTGATAAGCAGCCAGGTCTAAAATGCAGGCCATCACTAGAACTTACTGCAGCAACAGACAACACTACATGGATTACACAGGGGCAGAAGCAGCTGCAGCACATGAGCCCAGAGCTCCCTCTAGCCCAACCTTCTGCCTCTGCCAAGGCCCAGCAGGAGATACCTAGGGAAGAGCACAGGAGAGAGCCAGCATAAAAACTCTCCCAGCCTTCAGCTACCTGTGGGACTCCCAAGCAGCAGGACAGGCCAACAGCCCTTAGCTCGTTCATATGACAGATCTTCCTTGCAGCACACCCTGTCTTACTGAGTTCTTACATAATTCACAGAGTCTGGATTAGTGGCGGGGCCCTACGTGGCTCACAGAAGTAGCAGGGTGACCGTGGCAGACGTACGTGATTGATGGGGTCTTCCAAGTAGAGGATCCCGTTCTTGATGGAATTGCTGATGTCATTCTCGGAATACATCACAGATGTGGGGAGCTCCTCATAAGCACTGCCCTCCGCCAGCTTCTTGTGCTGCAGAACAGGAAAGCAGCCAGGCATGAGGAGAGCTGCAGGACTCCCCAAAAGGCAGAGCAAGTTTCCCAGTTAGATGTGAACCACCCTAAAACTGCAGGTCAGCTGCAGTGGCTTTCCCCCAGACTAAAAGAACTAAGACAAGATTCATGCTACAGAGATCACTAAACGGCACTGAAGTCCCACTTTCTTCTCAGGAGTCATTTCTGCAGGACAAATACCAATATCTTAACCAAGCTCCTGAGAACAGCTTCTAATCAGGGTCCCAAACTCTTGACTCATCCACTCCTATTTTCTCCATTTAAATACCTGGTAGGGTGAGGAACTCACCTTTATCAGAATCTTCCTCTTGAGCTGGTTTGGAGAGGGGAGCCCATCAGCAGAAATATCTACTGGTTTGGTCAGGAGCATATCCCCAAAGACCTTCTTGAAGTTCTGAGCCATGTTCCTCTGCTGAGCAATGCTGCAGTGGTCCTCAATGGACAAGATGACAGGGAAACTGGGAGGAGGAAATCAGCTGTCATTACCAGAGCAGTGTCTGGATGGGATTTAACAATTCCAAGCCTGGTTTCAGAATGTAGCCTCTGTGCCCTCAAAAAGTGTTTCTCAGCAAGAGCTATCTGTGCCACAGCTGTGCTGCCCCGAGCCCTCAGCACAGCCACCCCTACCGCTGCTGGCGATGCAGAGTACAGAGGGAGAAAGAAACTAACACAGTCCCCCAAGCCTTCCCTTCCACAAGATGTTTTCTGGGGTGAACTTGCCCGGAAGGCACAAAAGCATGCTTCCTTCCCCGAATGCCAGATACACGTTTTCTTTTTTTTTTTTTTTTTTTTTTTTTTTTTTTTTTTTTTTTTTTTTTGCCAAGTCTCTGGATAAAGGTTCTGCTACAGCCTCAGCTCCAGCATCTTGCCTTTCTGACCACTCTGCTAGGTGAGCTTTAGGTCCCTGCTGTACTCACTCGGATGTGACAAACGCATGCTCCTTGATAGTGACCAAGACATCGGAAAACTTGATCTTGGTGGTTAAGGTGTGTCCGTGGTAGATCACTGGCATCCCATCAGGACCATCCCAGCAATCCACTGAAAGAGACCCACGGGTCAAACTCAGCCCAAGGGCCAAAAGAGCAGAGCAGGACCCAGACAGGAGACAGACGCGAGCGCAGCAGGGAACTCCCATTGGATGGCAGTAAAGGACAGAGGGGAAAAAATCAAAATCTTTCCAGGGGAGAGGAGGCTCAGGCATGTACCAAACAACCTCAGCTCTTTCCTGTGATAATGCTGCCATCAGGAATTCACCCTTCAGCCCTGCCTTCTATGGCCAGACTTTACCCCCCGCTGTCAACTGCCGGAACAGTGGGGACAAAGCTGGGACAGAGGCAGCTGCCTGGGTACTCACGCTCGATGCAGCGGCAGCCCATGCGCAGGCAGCGGGCGTACGCTTCCAGCGAGGACTCGCTCGAGAACTGATCTCCCGTCAGGTACCTGGCACACGAGAAAAGGCATCAGAAGAAGCCAGACATGCACTGCAGGCAGGGATAACTCCTGGGACACCACGGACCTGTCTCTGTGTTTTCAGGAAAGGTGAGAGGGACTCTCTTGCCCAGGACAAGTATGGCTCTAGCCCTACTCCAAGGTGCTCCAAGCATCACCTTACTGAGGCATGGTCTTGTTGCAGGCCCTTGAGATGAGCCTTCAAGAGTGCTATCAATATTGGTGCCACAAATGTGCCAGCTAAATGAAGAGTGAGCCATTCCCCTGGGCCAGGTTACCCCAGCAGCTCCCTGACTATGCTCCAGCTCAGCTATCAGCCGTCTTGGGAGATCCCACATTCCAGTTTTTATATCAGGATTAATGTGTTGCGACTGCCCCACACCAGCCGTGAGCACAGAGCGGGTGTCTGCCTGCTAGGACTGAAAGTCCTACAAGACTCTTCCGTAAAGATTACAGGTACGGGGCCATCTTCAGCCTGCCAGAGTTTTTTCACATCCATTCCTAAAGGCTAAGATAGATGGTACTGCTGATAGGAAGACACTGCCAAGGTGGCAGCCTGGGACCTGAAAGCACAGTCTGAGCAGATGTTCGCTGCTGACACAGCAAAACCCTGATGATAAAGCCAAGGGGGGAAAACTGAGGTACTAACAGGAAAGCCTCTTACAAACTCATGTGCTTGTCATGTCACTGCACTCAGGCAAAGTGGTTAGGGGAGAATTTCACCCTGCCACAGCAGAACATGATGCTGGGAACAGACATCTCCCTCGTCCTTACGTGTTGTGCGAGGAAGAGATCCAGTAATGAGAGAGAGGGTTGTTCATGTTCTCCAGACACACCATGTCCAGCTGCGAGTCCCAGATGCTGTTCTCTTTGGAAAACAGGAAGGTGAGAAACTGCTCAAGAGAAAAAACAGAAGAGTGTTAATGACGAGGGTAGTTTTATACACACAGCTGCTCCTCAGAGGCAGCAGCTCCCAAGAGGGCAGCTGTTTTGTAAGCCCCGCACAGACTGTATCATGTGTGGGGAGGCTGCCTGTCCACTCCACCAGCACCAGGCAGCCAGGAGCCCAATTCTGTCCTGGCCAGAGGCAACCGAGACTTGGTGCACAGCTATCTGACCCAGTGTGCTCAAGTGATCTCAGTTCCACGTGTAACCACCCATCTCCCAAGCCACAGCAGGACTGTGATCCTTACACTGGACACACAGATGCTTATGTTGGCCCAACTGGACTCAAGTAAAAAGAATCACTCTGTATTTTATTTTGCAAGTCGGGTACACAGTCAGCTCACATGGCAGGCAAGTGCTCATTAGGGCCATGTTGTTATCTCCAGTCATTTTTATTCTTTTGTTTTCAACAGTTTGGGCTAGTAACTTCCTTGCTTTGGAGAGGCATGCTGCAAAGGGACATTAAGGATGGTCAGGGGCGTGGAGCATCTGCCCTGCGAGGAAAGGCTGAGAGAGCTGGGCCTGTTCAGCCTGAACAAAAGAAGGCTGAGAGGAGACCTGATTAGCGTCCAAGTACCCCAAAGGGGGCAGTGAGGAGGATGGTGCTGGCCTCTTTTCAGTGGTGGCCACCGACAGGACTAGAGGAAACAGCCACAAATGAAAGCATGAAAAGTTCCACAGGAACTTAAGGAAAAATTTCTTAACTGTGAGGGTGCCAGAGCACTGGAACAGGCTGCCCAGAGAGGTTGTGGAGTCTCCTTCTTTGGAGATCTTCCAAACCCACTTGGATGCAGTCCTGTGCCACGTGCTCTAGGTGACCCTGCGTGTGCAGGGGGGGTTGGACTAGATGATCTCCAAAGGTCCCTTCCAACCTTGATGATTCTACGATTAAGCCAAACACGACCTCTTTTTGTCTTGCAACTGCATCACATGCAACCATCCATTCCCCAAATGAAACTGCCTGATGAGGGCTCCTGACTGCACACACTCAGCACGAGAGCAGGGCCCAGAAACCATTTCCTCTATCAGAGGGAAGAGCCACCTGCTCTTGTGCAACCCGGTGGCCACCCGGACCGCAAAGCTCGCCTTGCGCAGAGGACACGGTGAACCTCTGACCACCGTGACCACAGAACAAAGACACACCAGGAGGAGCAGGCAGCCGCTCACATCGCGGCGATGTCGCACCCCATGCCCCCCAGGCCACGCACACGCGAGCGGTCGGGGTGCCTTACTTCATCCAGGGAGAAATACGGTTCATCGATCTCCCGCAAAGGGTCTCGCAGAAAGCTAAACATGAATTCCTGCACCTGAAGGATATCTGTAGCCCAGAGCTCCTGCAAACCCACAAAGACATAAGAGAGAAGCAATTTCAGAAAGTGTTATTCAAAACCACATGCAGCACATCCAGCTAGAAGCCTTAACCATTAGGGAGGCAGCTGTAAACACGAGGCCATCCCGCCTGGGGATTCGGCGATCCGCACAAACCCTGGCTAGCAGGCGACTGCAGAAACCCGACCTGCTCTTAAGTGGCCCTTGTTTTCCTGGGTTCATGTATCTCTCTCTCTCTGCCGCGCCAGCCCCTCCGCAGCAGCGCCCGACAGGGCTTCCTTTTGCTCCTTCCTCTCCCGCAGGGCGATCGGGAGCTCATCAAAACGGCTGCGTCTCTGGGCAGGCTCCTTTTCTACTCGCTGCGCGGAGGCAGCTGCCGAGGACGGGGCGCGCGGCGCAAGGCGGGGGATGCCGGGCACCGCTCTCCCACGTGCCGGCGTCGGGGAGGCTGCGGCAGGGGGGC